ATATCTTCAGGGCTGGGGGTACCCAATATGGAACTTGAACCCTTTGCTCCTCACAGAGGACCCCCATGTCTATCATATTCCTCCCACTTGTGGATTGTTACACCAGGGCTTTGGTTCCCAACCAGGTTTCATCTCTGCCTTTCCTACCCTTCTTGATAGGACTTTTTCTTCATATCTTTGGCTGTGGAAGAGATTTTCTGCTAGTCTCCAAGTCATTCTCAGAAAGAGTTGCTTTAAATGTAGTTACAACCTTGATGTGTCTCTGGGAGGAGGTGAGTTAAGGATATTTCTACTCTGCCATCTTTCCCTCTAATAGTGATAACTTGATTTCTAGTGTCCAAGTCCAAAGAGGAATTTTAACCCAGGATGGATCATGCCAAGAGTTTCATCCATACTTATTTTAAGTGATGAGATTTGGTACTTTTGAGCTGATAATATTAAATGAGATTGTGGACTTGAGTTGATGTATTGAGAAATCTGGGTATTGGTGATGTAGTACATGTGTTTTGCATGTGGGATGGATGTGAATCTTCTGGGACCAGAGGTCAGATTATGGGAGACTGAATAATTTCACCTCTCCCACCAAAGATATTCTATTTCCTGGAATTTATGTGTGTTACCTACAATACCAACAAAAAAAAAGACTTTGCCAGTGTGATTAAGTTAAAGATCATGATATAGGGGGATTATCCTAGATTATTTGGGTGGGTTCTAAATGCATCACAAGTGTTCTTATCAGAGGGAGGCACAGGGAAATTTGTCACCAACAGAAGATAAGAGGGGGATGTGACCATGGAGGTAGAGATTTGAATAATGCAGCCACAGCCAAGGAATGCTGGCAGCCTCCAGAAGCTGGAAGAGCAGAGAGAAGATTCTCTCCTAGAGCATCTGGAAGGAGTACAGCCTTGCTGACACCCTCTTTTCAGCTTAGAGAAACTAATTTTAGACTCTGGGAAAATAAATTTCTCTTGTTTTATTCCACAAAACTTTTGGTAACTTGTTACAGCAGCCATAGGAAATTTGGGTGATCATTAGAGATTATGTAGATTATGTTGAAAGTCCCTTGTAGTTTTAAGATGCATTCATTCATTCATTCAACTAACCAACAAATATTGAAAGCCATATAAAACAGTAATTAAAAGCACAGACTTTGGACTCAATTCAACTTGAGAGTGAATTGTGTGACCTTGATCAGGCAGCATAACTCTCTGAGCCCCAGTCTCCACATCTACACAATAGGGATAATAACAGTACTTAACTCAAGGTGAGGTTGTGAAAATTACATGGGATAATGCACACATACAGCTTTGTGCTGGGCACAAGGGTCATTGCCCTGTCCCTGTTCTAAGAGACCTATCATTCTGGGAGGAAAAACTTAGAGAGATCAAGACTGTGGACAGAAAGCACAGGAGGAATTGGGGACCCGTTGGAGGCACTGGTGGTAGGGGGTCGGAACGAATTCCTAGAGAAAGTATCTTCTGAGTCCCCTGAGGGACAGAGCAAGCTGTAATTATATGGATACTCTTTTTAATACTATTACTATTAAAATATTACTATTAAGGAGGAAAACATTCCTTGTTATCGGGTCTTCTAGAAAAAGCACATCTTTCAAAAACACCTATCAAAAACAGTAAAAAAAAAAAAAAAGTTTAAAATAATTCCTGTCCCTCACTGGGTTTGCACAGGGAGTCATGCAGGCCCCCACTTCCACCTTGGCTGCTGACACTGCTACCACCACCATCATTGCCTTGATCCTTTATCCCTCACCATGGCTGAGGACCTGTCTTCGGCCACGTCCTACACCAAAGATAATTTCTACTGCCCCACCTGTTAGGGGGGCTCCAAACCGCCATGGGGCCATGGCCTATCAGCACATTCTGTAAGAAATGTTTTCTGACTGGGGCGCCTGGGTGGTTCAGTCAGTTGAGCATTCGAATTCGACTCAGGTCATGCTGACAGCTCACAGCCTGGAGCCTGCTTCCAATTCTGTGTCTCCCTCTCTCTCTTCCCCTCCCCCCACTATCTCTCTCTCTCTCTCTCTCTCAAATAAATAAACATTGAAAAATTTTTTAAAGAAATGTTTTCTGATTTTAACAAGAGAGAGCAGAATACGTTGTCCCCTCTGTTATGGAAATGTGACTAGACTTAAGAGAGAATGTCCCGAACAAGCCTTAGACCTTGAAACTGTCATGATGAAGTTTTCAGGTAGTTGTAGATGCTGTGCAAAACAGATTAAATCCTGTTACTTGAGATATCATTACAAATTTTATTAAGAAGTATCAAGATGGGGGGGCACCTTGTTGACTCAGTCGGTTGAGCATCCAACTCTTGATTTCAGCTCAGATCATAATCTTGCAGTTCGTGCAATCAAGCCCCCCAACAGGCTCTGTGCTGACAGTTCTGGGCCTGCTTGAGGTTCTCTCTCTCTCTCTGTCTCTCTCTCTCTGCTTCTCCCCTGCTCATACACTCTCTCTCCCTCAAAATAAATAAATAGGGGCGCCTGGGTGGCGCAGTCAGTTAAGCGTCCGACTTCAGCCAGGTCACGATCTCGCGGTCCGTGAGTTCGAGCCCCGCGTCGGGCTCTGGGCTGATGGCTCGGAGCCTGGAGCCTGTTTCCGATTCTGTGTCTCCCTCTCTCTCTGCCCCTCCCCCGTTCATGCTCTGTCTCTCTCTGTCCCAAAAAATAAAATAAAAAACGTTGAAAAAAAAATTAAAATAAATAAATAAATAAATAAACTTAAAAAAAAGAAATATCAAGATAAGGACATCTGGGTGGCTCAGTCAGTTGAGCATCCAACTGTTGATTTTGGCTCAGGTCATGATCCCAGGATCATGACTTCAAACCCTGCATCAGGCTCTGCACTGAGCATGGGGCCTGCTTAAGATTCTTTCTTTCTCCCTCTGCCCCTCTCCCCTGCTCTCTCCCTCTCTCTCAAAAAGGAAAGCTTTCAAGATGAATATTGTGTTTCTTCTATCATTCCAAATTTTCAGATCTCTCAAGATTCAGTAGAGAACATTAATAGGAGAGAAACACTCACCTCTAACAACACAGAAATTTGTCAAGAGAATACAAGCTTTTCTGGACATCCCATCATTAAGTGTCCCTTTTGTCAAGGGTCAAATTTTACCTGACAGCGTTTATGGAATCACTGTAACAATGATCACATAGTTCCTATTTCAGACAGTACCGGTGATATGCCCTATTTGTGTGTCTCTTCCTTGGGGAGCTCCTAGCCAAATAACTAGAAATTTTGTTAGTCATCTAATCAAAGACATCAGTTTGATTATGGATAATTTGCTAATCTTCATCTAGAATGAGGAAATCCAATATGAGACTGCTGTTGAAGGATCGATTTATAAAGACTGTAGACATCTCTGCAGCTTTGTACCTGCAAATGCTATCTTTAATGGGACAACTACATGAAGTCTCTGTTTCAATAACTTCATACATATATTAATGAAAGGAATTCAATCTTTTAAAAGTTTAAAATTCTGAAGTCACTAGAGTAGTCCTAGAAAAGACCCCCATACCTGAGGAAGTTGGAGATTGATAGCAAGGATTTGAGGTGATGGTTTCATATTTCGCATTTATTAAAACTAAACAACAAATGCACAGAACACAGCAGTACGCTGAAGAAAAAGGGACCATCTGAGCATGCGCACTTAAGGGCCTACGGAAGCTAGAGCGGCCAACTTTGGCAGAGCACAATCCTGCTTCAAGCGTGAAAATCAACCCACTGTGAAAAAAACGGTACTGTCCCTGGAGCTGGACTTAAGAGACCCCGTGACTGACTCGTTTGCCTCGCCTACTTTCTTACCCCCTGATTGGCCAGTTCAAGTTCATTCACCATTCTGATTGGTTGATTGTCCTTGGGCAGTAGAATTGTGGGATATCATCCGTTGGAGCGACTTTTCGCCTCTGCTTCGCCTCTGAGGGAAGCGTTCTTTTCGGACAGTTGCAGACTGGTCAAAGGTGGGCAGGTAAAAAAGTAAGGAATCTCCACAGGTCACTCAAGTAGTTTAATTCTCGCTGGGCCTCCCAACATCCTCAATATCCCTAGGACTGAGAAGTGACTTAAAGCCTTTCAGGGCAATCCCCGTCAGGCAAAGATAAAACTAGTTTTTCGTCTGTGAGACTTTCTAATTGGCCTTCCTGAGGAAAGAACTCCCGTCAGCCTGAGAAACCCCCAAACCAGCTAGATGCCCCTAGATTTCTTCAACCAGAGATAATATCCACTGCCTAAGTGACTCTTTTATTGACTCCTCTAGGATAGAGCAGAAACCTTCTTTGCCTTAGAGACCCCTGAATTTTCTCTCCCTAAGAGATTCCCAATGTTGAGGAACACCAGATTGCTGCATTGAAACTCTCCACATTGCTGCATTGCCTAAATGATGGCTGATCGAGTAGTCTTGGAGATTCTAGCTGTCTTCACACCAATAATTTTCAAATAACCTAATAATGGGCTCTAAATCCACTTTATGTTAGCAATCCTCATTTATTTTCAACAGAGCAAAACCCCACATCCCTCTGCCTGAAAACCTAAACCCATCTGTCAGAGACACCATATGGTCTCTGGGACTTACCTCCTCACTCTTTTGCCTCAAAACATGCCCCCTTCCCCCTCATAAAACTAGATGCTCACTTCACTTCTTGCCCAAAAGGTTGTCTTTATATCTTTCCTTCAGGATAAGCCAAACTTCAGGCAAACTACTATCAACAGTAACAAATCCCTTCTCAAAGTCTCAAGGATGCATTAATGCTTACAGAAAACCTGTCATTCCTAACCAGTACTTCTCCCAAAGATCTCCAGCTCCCTGTTCATTTGACTCTGCCCCCCCAACCCACACCCCCACAGCCATGTCCTTTTTCAGGGGCAGATAAGCCCAGGATGGAGAAAAGTAGAACCTAGAACTCCAGGTAACTGACGAAATGTAGCCTACCCTCAGTGCTATCTCCCTTCCTCAGGTCCTTTGGATACATGACTGGAGAGATTTAAGTTATGTCCCTTCAAGATCAAACCATCTCCAGCGCTATGAACAAAGGCAACTCCTTTGCAAAGAGGCCCAAAGAGGTTACCCAGAAATCAGAGAAGAAACACAAGGTGAGGTGATCTGGAGGGGGTAGAGGAGTGGCCCAGGGGACACTGTAGAGTGACTAGATTTCTGAGGAGGTGAGGTAAGAGGCACTGGAGAAAAGGAGCAGGGTGTCAGGGGGAGATCCAGAGACTCAGGAGCTTCCCATCCTCACTCTCTCCTCATCCACCATCCCTGGAGACAACAGATCTGTGACTTTGCACTGCATTTGGTGACTCTCAGTCCATTCTGGAAGGTGAAAGAGCATGTTACCAGCATTAAGCATCTACTGCATGCCTGGGGAAAGGCTAGAGAATGTTACCCATGACATTAACTGCGAAGGATCATTATCCCCAGTTCACAGATCCAACATTGAGATCCTGTGGCAGAGGAAGAGACCCCAACTGAAGACCAGACATGTTTAGCTGAGTTGCTGTTAGGATTTACTTATTTTTCTTTCCTAGGAATTCGAGGCTATTTCCAAGTTCTTCTCTAAGGAAGAGTGGGAAAAACTTGGATACTCAGATAAAATCACCTATGTGTACATGAAGAGAAACTATGACATCATGACTGGTCTAGGTAACAGGAAGTTCTGGGTACAGACAAGCCTGGGAACACATCACTACCCCCTCAGTCCCTTTACATGCCACGGCTTCTTCCTAGGCTGCAAGTGTCCCACACCTGCCCTTTGTGCGGGGAGAAATCCTAGGGCAACTTCAGGGCATTCTTTTCTTTTTTTCTTTTCTTTCCTTTCCTTTCCTTT